TAAAAACTGAAAAAAAAACCCAAACCCTCTGGTATTTTTGATAGGAGCCATTTCCTTTTGATCACAATATTTACAATGCATTTTTGCTACATACCAGAAGTCATATTTGTAAGTAAATAGCTAGGAATAGCTCAGGGCAAAAGACACTGCAATTCACACAGTTTCTGTCAATGCAAAAATTGTAATTCTAAAGCTATTTTAAATATAGTAGAGGATTAACGCATTACAATACTACTTGAAATAAGTTCGAGAAGCCTCCAGCAATTCAGCTGTGCAAAATACTCAGAAAAGAAATTGGTACATACACAGGTACCCTCCAACATTTCTGTCCTTCTCTAGCAGCCATACAGTGGTACTACTCACTGCACAGCTGTTAAAAATACTTCCTGTACCTTTCCAGCCCAATACAACCTGAACACCACAGCTGCAACCCCGGGAGTGGAAGCAGAACTCAGTGCCCAGAACCCTCTTCACAACACCAAGAGCTCCCACCAGAGCCAGCATTTTACAAATTAAACAGCATTACAGGAAGAAGAAAAAACAAACAGAACAAAAACCAAAAAACAACCCACAGACCCACCCCCCATCCTCTCCCTGCAAAAAGTCCATATAACAACAACAAACAAAAAAAAAAAAAAACCACCAAAAAAAAAATCCAACAGACTTACTTAAAAAAATCCCACGCCTTCTCAGTTTTTCAGCACAGGAAGGATTTTGCACAGAGCCTAAACCTGATCATTGGGTACAATTAACTTATGATTAACTAATCATGTTTTGCAGTCAACCCAGGATGTGGTTTACTTTGTTTGTATACAGGGACATATGTATTCACTTCATCTTTTAAACTGAATATCAAGCACTAGGCAGCAAACAGTAAAACGATTACCAATGACTTCATTTCAGATACGAGATTGTAATATTTATTGTTATGGAAGTGCCACCATCAGGATTTGATATGTTCTCAGAGTAGACCAAAAAGCTCCTGATGGACTAGTTGGAGACTGGAAAGAAAACTAGTGGGAAAGATGAGTGGAAATTAGCATTAGTGAGTATAAACAGGGAAATCATTACTTTCCATTCACCTTTTGTTAGTTCATACAAAGTCTCATAGAAAACTGCAGAGGGGTAGCTGTGAAGCACACAACCCGTGTTCTTAAGCATTCATAGAAGAGGCTCAGGGCAAAGCAAGAGCAGTCCCTGTTCTACCACTGTGGTTTACTTTATTTTCACATTTTATAGGCTAGTAGCATTAATCTTGGTCAAATATTCTCAATGAATCAATTTTAGCTTGCAAGATTCATTGCTAAAGATTCACTTTAAAGAGTAAGCAGCAGAACCGAGAGAAAAATCAAATACTTGTTTAAAAATTCAGCCAACCCCACAAAAATTTGCATAAAATACAAACGTCTGGAGAAAATTTGCATTTCACAAGTGTAATTATAATGTGCTGGTTAAAACACAAAGAAAAGAATACATCTCTAAATATTCTATTTTCTCCTCTTAGCAAATTAGCTCCTTCTATACCTATGCAGACACATTCTACTTTATAATATGTAATCATTCAGTTGATTTAAGATTAGGACTTTTTTTGTTTGATGTAAATCTATATTACAAATTCTTCTATTTTTTTAATTATTTTGGGTACTTGTTCAGCAATGCAACATTTTTTTCCGTAGACACGTTAACTTGAGTAATGATAATGAAGCTAAAACAACTATACTGGTATAATCCATAACAACTTCCTCTTTGGAAAACATAATTTTATCATCTTGGTGGCAAGCAGGCAACTCTCAATTCAAATTAAAGGATATCATTAGTGGAAACATTCTACCAATGTTTTGCCTACTGATTTCATAAAACAAAGTGCTGCTGCACCAAGTGGCCTTAAATCTGCTTAACATTAAAGGCAAAGATTGTGGAATTAGAATACTGAAGGATATGTGGGCTGTGTTGTTTAGGGTTTTTTCCCTAAAGGAGTAGAAGAGCTCTGGGATTTGCATCTCCATGTACTAAAGTGAGATCAAAGCCTGCAAAGAAATGCGCGCATATTCAGCTTTTTTCAATACAAGTAGTACCTATTCATGTTATATGTAATTAAATACTTACAAATATATCTACATATCTACACAACTTCAAGGACACTAACATAGAGCACACAAGTTACTTAAGCAACTGATTATTGATGGTACTAAAAAAAACCTCTGAGTAAGAAGACACACAAAAATTTAGTAAATTCCGTTTGCCTTTCCTATACTTTTCATCATTTTGTGCACGTTGATCCTGTTTATTCTGGTTTTCCACATAACTTTGAGACGTTTTTCTGTGGAAGCTTTTATAGGACTAACATTCTTGCCACTCTTTCTTTTTAAACTATCCTTTAAATCAATATGATCCTTTATAAAAGGCACGCAAAAAGCACTAAGCAAGGTATAACATTATGAAATATAGCATAAGAGTTTCTTTCCATTTCTTTATTTAAATAAGCATTTTCATTATCAAAAAACCTACTTGTATGCACTGCATATTCCATTAAAACTTCTATTCAGAAGTTCAGGTTATTTTACTGAGTGTTTTATTTAAAATACAATAATGAACATTAATTGTTCACACTGCTCCCTCTTGTGAACCTTACTTTTCATTTGCTAACATTGACTGTAATTTGCTATTACACTGCCTTGGCGCTCATGACATGATAATCACTGACTAATGCCCAAGACTCCTCATGTATGAGGACCTTTCATGTTTGGTACTATAAGCAGGACAACAAATCTTTTCATAGATCTTGGTATAACTGAGAGACAAAGACAGAAGGAAAACATAGAAATAACTGCATAGGCAGTGGTCATACTAAATTAACTACTGACTTGTCACAGGTATCAGGAAAACCATAATAAAGCAGTTATTCAGTGAGTACTGACAAGAGTTTCTGCAAATGGATGAATAGTGAACGCTCTTTCTTACCCATTACTCAAAATTCAATTGTAGCCTGGATATCAAGACCTAAAGAGGATTGAACCAAAGACAACAACCCAGAGCATAGGCCCAGAGGAAAAGCAGATGATTAAGCTGTCCAGTGCCCTAAAACAGCAACAAGGTCCAAGGAAACAATATCAGCAGCAAAACTGCAGTCACGTTCAGCCAGCAATATATGATGGAATGTCACAGACAGACATTCATTAAAACTAGAGCTTTGGAAAGCAGAAGGTGCAAATGAAACAAAGGCTGATAAACAGTTAGGTTTCCCAATACAGTACAGGGTGTATAGTAGCATTCAACTGCTATGATAATGGAAGAAAAGCCAGGCAGAAGAGGCATTGTAGGAGATGGAAATCACAGAACAGCAGAACGGAAGTCACAGAAAAGTTCACAACTGGGACAGGAAGAGGGAGACCAATACCAGGTCTGCAGGGGAACCGGTAGCAGCAATCTCACTGGGCAGTGCTTGCTTAAGATCCGAGTAAGCAAACAGTCCCTCTGGTGAGTAGGGACAGGACAGGTCATCAACACAGAAACTGAAATTTACTAGTGCTGAGTGAGTAATGTATGCTTCACAGAACTACTTCTAGGGCTTTACTAGTATTCTTTTACTACTTAGTAGTTTTAAAATAATTTTTTTTCCTGTTTTATTTCATGAGAAATGAACTTTATTTTCTTAGCAAGGAAATTTTTTTTTTCATTTGGCCTCAAAATAAACCATGTTTTTAAACTTTTCTGTCAAGACAAATCTTAGAAAAAAGTCATCTCATGACAAAAAAGCAGAAAAATAATTTTAAGAAATGCTGATAAATAATTCTTCATTTCCTAATTTTTTGCAAATTTGCATCACATCAGCAAATAGCTGGTGTTAGCCCAAAACAACATTTTGGAAATTATTTTACTGCAAAACTGAGCTGTTGGAAAAAAAAAAAATGCAGATAGTTCATTTCTTTAAAAATCTCCAAAAGGACAACCGCCGTAACCAGAAAAGTATCACTGTTGCATTGGGCAAAGTCACAGAATGCTTCCAAAAATGAGAGATTAAACAGACTAAAACTCCTCAGCTTGAGAAAAGACCTGTCAAATACGAGGGAAAGAATATAACAGGGTTCTATAAAATCAAGGATGGCATAGAAAAATGAACATAAAGTAACTATTCACTGTTATATAAGAACTATGGAATGAAATGAAATTAAGAAGTTTCTAGAAGAAAAACAGAAGCATGTTTCAACATAAAGTGTAATTAAAACAGTGGAACTCATTACCACAGAATGCTGCAAATAACAAACATAAATTGGAAAACTAAGCTGGATAAATTCAGATCCACAGCCAACACTAGAAAAAAATTATTTTTTTATTAACTTATCCTCAAGCACTGCCTGATCATCCTATCCAATAACTAGATTCTTCAATTCTCTGTTTTCTACCGGAATACTTTAAAGACCGTGCTTTCTTTCAAATCTGTCACACTTACGCAAATGCATGACTGCTTTCTGCAGATCTAAGCCCATGCCGAAGTTCAGCATGAAACACAACTAGGCCTCTAAATCATTAGCCCTGATTCAGCCAGGTATATAGTTACCTAGTTATCTTTTTCATCTCCACAATGACACAAAAACAGCTACTCAGGCAAAAGCTTAACTTGACTGAATAAGGCTGTAGTGCGAAAATGAAACTGTTATAGTAGTGAGTTAACTAGTCCAGAAATATGTAAACTGTTCACTTTAAGCCAGACAAAATAGTTATTGTAGATGATTCAGTGCAATTCCATCACAGTGGATTAACATAAACCTTTTGAAGAACACCAGATTCTAAGGACCTCTCTGGTTTTTCATCCTATCAATGTTATCTATGGTATTACATTTAAGCACAAGAGTTCATTTCTAAAAGAAAGGTAGGAAGAGGAAAGCACTTTGCTACTTTTCTCAGATACTGCAATTATACTGCAAGAGATAAAGACAAATAGGACATCAAATTAGGACATGAATAACAGGAAGCAAATGGTAGGAATCCACCAAGTCTACCTGGATGGCTGCCAGGTTCTTCTGTTCCTGTGACGGAGCCTCATGGACAAAGCGCAGCCAATTAGAATGGCGTGGATTGCTTGCATCCAGGATATAAAGGACCTCACCTTTACCCCCACGAACCTAAATCATGAAAAAAAATAACCAAAATTAAAATTGTTTACCAAACACACACAAACACGTAAAACACTAAGGCATGCTTGTGCTTAGCAAGTGAATCTTGCATTCAACAGGTGCTCACAGCTGTGGTGCACATTCACCTTTTTCTATGAGCGTATTTATTCATCTTAGAATAGGGGAGCAACTCAAATCCAGCAACTGGTGTCAGTTTCCTTTATTATCTATATCTCTTTCCTCAGACTTTCCTTTAGTAAACAAGTATCACGACTGACTCCCAGGTCTCCCCAGTTTGACAGTATGGTCACTGGTGCTCATATTCTTTCCTCTCTGTTCCTTTAAGTCCTCCTTTTCTTTATGATCTTGCCAGAAAGCGATACAACCTGAGACGTCGTTTCCCATTCCAGCCCTATCATCCCTTTTCCAGTTTTCTTTTCTGAGTTCTCCTCCTTGATGTATTCCGATGCCAGCATTTTATTCCTACAGTCTACCTAATTCTTTTTATACCTTCCTGTCTTTTGTCATTCAGTCTGTTTCTCATCACTTTCTCCAAATCAAGGTTGTAAGCTCTCCTGTCTCCAGTTCATTTTCCTTTCCCCACAACTCACTATTATTGTCCTACCTTCCTTCTTCAACACACTGCCCAAGAGTGGACCACACTTTATTCTGTAACCTACACATGTTCTCTAACTCCTCAACTCAGTACGCAGCATTTCTCTTCTGGTGACACTACAGACAAGGCCAACAGTAACTTTCTTCTAGGACAAAAGGGACAGGACATCTTCTAATCTTGTGCTGTTCCAACACCACTGAGTTCAAGCTCTTATTCGTGAGTTTCTGTATTCCTGCAGTCACCCATGTCCATTCAGTGATCTTTGCCTTGATAATTCTTCACCCTTCACTTTTTTTTTTTTTTTCCACACTTGATATTCTTCTAGACTCCTTTATCCTTTGCTTATTATGTTCTAGCAGATCCTATTCACCCTCTACGGTCAATTCCTAAATCCATCTGCTTCTGCCTACTTTCACATTTCCAGAAACATCTCAGCCTCAACTAGCAAGCATTACAAACAGAGTATGTCCATATTTGAACTCAACTTTTCCACTATCTTTACCGCTTTCCTCTCCTGTAATCTTACCAGGATTACTGGTCCCACTCAACCCACTTCCAACCCGAATCATCAGTTCTGTCTCCACTCCTATCCCACTACTTCATCACTAAATCCTCTTTCTAGTTCTTTATCACCAAATATAACTTTTCTTCTTCAAAGAAATTCTAAATCCAGTAGGTACACTTTCATTACTGTTAACTCTTACTGCACCACACCACTCCCAAATATTCCACAAACTCATCAAACACTTCTTGAAAACCATATTTCTCATTTCCCTTCCAAATCTTCTATGGGTTTGTTTTTATGGTTATGTTTTGCTGTTGGGGTTTTTTTCCCTTTAGCAAGGACAAAATCCATCTTGCCCTTGGATGGAGATCTATCTTCATATCAAAGACCAACATAATTGCATTTATTCATTCCATATATCCTATTTTACAGTTCACTTGTACATCTTTTGTATATGCATCTTGAAAGGAAATTTAAATAAGTAGCCTCAATGCATACCAGTCAGTCTTAAACTATGCTTGGCTGAAATTTTATCAGAATAGGAGATTATTTCAGTAAACAAATTATTATACTATATAGGTGAAAGGCTGTAAATAATTTAGTAAAGGGAACAAACATGTCTAGGTTTTGTCCACTAAGTGAAGAAGCCAATTTAAAAAAAGAATTGTGCACACAAGATACATCATGTCCATATGAGGAGCTTTTGGCTATCATTACAGATCCATAGAAATTCTGACTGTGATAAAATTCCAGCTTATGTTGAAAAACAAAAATAACAGAAATACAAACTTAATATTAACCAAGCCATTCTTCCCCCTCGAAACAAAGATATACTGCTGAAAAAAATACAGTTGCTGCTGCCACATAAAAACCAGCTTGTTTTAAGTAACAGATCACTTGAATCTCAACTGATACAGAAGATAGAGCACTGTGCAAAAGGGTCACACATCCCCACTATTATTCCATGAGGTTTATTTATATAATGAACATATTTTCTTTTTATCTGTCAACAAGTATTCAGAGCAGTTATTTCCTAAGAACTAGGGATTTCAGCTATGTATGATCAAAATTAGATTGTCTTGATGGCTTTGTATTTGAATTGCTCATATTCTTGCTATATTTGTTTTTAATAGATGCAATATCATACTTCTCCAGTGTAACTGCTTAAATTCCCTAAACATTCAGGATATCATTACAAAGAAAAAACTGTATTCCATTACAGCAATAGCTAGTGACACCATGTTGTTCTCAGATTAGAATGGAAAAATCTACTGTAGTTCTGCAAACAAATGTAAGTCTTCCAAAATTTATTACTGTTCTTCCAAAGGAAGAAGGACACATCGTGAAAAAGTGCCAATCTTTCAAATTTTAAAAGTTATTTTACTTTCAAACACACACATTAACCACAGTGAAAAGTGTCAAACCTACATATTTAAATGTACCTGGAAACAATATTATCTAACACTAAGCACTGCACCCCCCTGCAATGGGTTTCCCAGAGAGGCTGTGTGGTCTCCATCCTCAAAGACGTAAATACCCAAAAGCTGTCCTGGGCAGCTGGCAGCCTTACATGAGCCGTGGGGTTGGACCAGATGACCTCCAGAGATCCCTTCCAATCTCAGTCATTCTGTCATTGTGCGACTATCACCTTGCGAAGTAATGTCTGCTCCCTCTTGGAACCATTGTTTTCATCAGGAACACAGGCAGAATGAGTGCAATCAAACCATAAAAGCAAGCTCCAAATTTACACAAAAATACATGCTAACAGTGTATTCACCTCCTGAAAAGCCACCTGCCAAGCAGAGGTGCTGCATTGATTATACTGTGATAATCATCCAGTTCTAAATAGGTAATCCAGAAAGCAGAACCTCACTTTGAGTGAAAATGGTTAACACTGCAGATTAGCATCTTTGAGTAATTAAAGTCAAGATAATGGCTTTGTGATTTAGCTACCAAAGTATGGGTTATAGAAGCCCATCGTGTAGGTTCTATAAAGGTTTCCATCAGATCTTGACTGGAGTTGGAAAGAGAAACAATCAAGATCCTACTATAAAAAACGTATGTTATACTGTCTAGCTTCTCATCCATTCTTTTCTTCATTTGCTTGAGCCTTAAATTATATAAGAATAATTTATACTCACTTCAGTGACGCATGATCATCTCAATTGTACTTTCTCAGTCTCTGCCAATTCATAGATATATCAAAGCAAAGACTTGACACATAAGGAAACTGTTGATAAAAGAATACGATAAATCCCTTAAAGATGTGCTATACTTTCTATTGCTTTTTTCACCTCGTAAAGAAATAATGCTGCATCAAATACACAGATGTGGGGAAGAAAAGCCAAGAAAAACAGTCAAAACATTGTACTTAACAGACTAGACTGGTGATGTTTACCACTCCTTTTCTCACCGGTTGCATGGATAGGGGAGTTTCTTTAATGAACAATCAATCTTTGAGCACCGTGGCAGTGAATCCCAAACTTGAACAAAAAGACTAGCTCTTGCTTTACAAATATATTTCTCAAACTCAAAGCCAGTACAAGCTAATCATGGTAGTTAAATGAAATAAACAGCTAGACTCTACATTTTCAGTTTGAAGTACGTGGACCTAAATATCATCTATACTGAATCAGTAATGAATAAAAGTGAAGTTTGGAATATATCGCAAAGGGTGGTCCCTCCAATAAAAGTCCACCAAAGTCCTCAGTCATTCTTCTGCTTTGTGGCATGATCACCAAGCAAGAAAATCAGTCTAATTAGAAGATATAACAACAAATACAAGCTAAAATGCTTGCACTTGGGTCTGCCTGTAAATCTGTTCTGATATCCAGTGAGATAGGATCAGAGACTGTTGTCAGTAAAGCAGATGTTGCACCATAGACCCACACAATTCTGCTAGCCACAGCAACAAGGAATTTTCTCTCCTGCACTCCTCATGCTTTCCAGTGTCACTGATGGAGAAGTGTACTGTGTAGCTTCAGTACCTCCCTCCAAGCCTGGCAGCTGCACCAGCTGTCACAGCAAGGGAAGAAAATGGGATAATGGTGCCAAGGTGCTTATGTGCTTCTCAAGAAAATTAAAGATACTGCAATTTACCTCTCTACACCACAGAACTAGGACTCAGCATGTGCATTTCTGGAGCACGACAAAACCACTCCCTATATTGAATTAAGGTTTCTTTGCTTTCTTTATCTCAGAGACGCCTCTTTTACAAATATTCATACTTCTAAATGGAATTTACTCTGCAACAAAGCCTCCAGTCCACTCTCAGGTGACTCCTTTCCAATCACACAACCACTCCAAGAATGTGCAGGACAACCTTCCCACCACAACTATTCCTGGCAGGAAGTTTCTGGAAAACTGAGGATGTCTTTCAGGGAGAGGAAATGAAAAATACTTTTGTATATCATAAACTAAAGTAGAAAATTCCTTAAGGAAGATTTTCTTAAAGTATCTGTAAGCAAATTACTGCATTCCCCCCACATGTTTGAACGGTTACAATCTTTTATAATTTTAAGGTTCTTAAAATATAGGCAAAATATTTTTACAGGACTGATATCCCTGATAGTTTTAGGAAGTTGTGGTAGTATCAATTTCACAGTGCTAATGAACATATTTGTATTTAAAAATTTTTACATTTGAACCTGTGATCTGTCTACTTTCATAATTCCATGTTTGAATGTCATTTTCCCAGTTTCTATACAGTTGGTATCACCCAAAATCAGCAAATCATCCAGTTAGCTTGAGATGTGTTCCTAAAGATCCTCAAGCTACACTGGTTAATCCAAAAGGATTTTAAAAAACTATCTTAATAGGACCTAAACTCAAGTACAAAAGTATTTCTAATTGGTTTTCTAAGGCTACCAAACTAAAAATGCTCTTAAG